AAGTAAATTCGTTTGTAGTTAAAATTAACAATATAGATTTCCACATTTCTAGTTTCACATGGATGCTTTGTTATGTCTAGAAGAGAGACTGTTTCCTTTTTATGGTGCAGGCTCTGCTTCTTCAAAGCTCTTTTCACAAAGCAGAGCACACCAACCCCACCCCCCCCCCCCCCCCCACCCCGCCCCACCACCACCAATGAATCCAGCTGTGGCAGTTAATCCTGGCCGAGAGAGAAACTTCTCAATACTACAAATTCTTAACCTGTAAAACACAGTTAACAGAATATACTCCAGTATACTTTTTTTTTTTTTTTACTCCAGTATACTTTCTAATGCAACTAACTCTAGGATTTTCCCCAAACATATCCCAAAAGCATTCCCCATTTTTCCAAATTAAAGCTGGCTGTCCGAGGCGTAAAAGGACCAAAGAAAACATCACAAAAAAATGATGCCTCTAATTTTCACAAGATGAGCAAGCTAGATGATATCTGCCACGCATGAGAATTTACACTGAATAATTTTTCATTAAATCACACATATTTCCCCCACCTCACTGGGATCTTCTTTAGCAATTCATACTCTTTCATCCAAACACAAGTAAAATGAGTTTCCATTAAAGCTGAACTTTGACGATAAGAATGTCCTTCATTTGTTACATTCTGAGAAAGAAAAAATTAATTTCCTTCCCACTACATAAATCCATAATACTTTCTAAAACAGTGCAGATGAACTGACTAGAATACCTGCAAAGTCCATGCAAACATGTATTTCATATATTTTAATGTGTTTGTTTTTAATTCTTAATTAATAACAGATATATAGCACATAGCACAACTAAGGGGCACTTTATGGTATGTGAAGTTATGCTTCCAAAAATGGTCTGCGTGTTGTTGATTTCACCTGATAAATCTGGCCATACATGAAGCCACTGCTGCATACATTAACACAACAGGTTTTTTTCTACCAACAATAACTACAATAAAAACAGCTAACATTCACTGAATGCTTACTGTATGCTATACAGTGTAATCATTGGTTTACAAGGATTATCTCATTTAATCCTCATACCAATCCTAGGAGAGGTGCTATTATTATCCTCATTTTATTTTATTTTTTTTTTTTTTTTTTTTTTAGATTTTATTTATTTATTTGACAGAGGGAGAGATCACAAGTAGGCAGGAAGGCAGGCAGAGAGAGAGAGGAAGGGAAGCAGGCTCCCCACGGAGCAGAGAGCCCGATGCGGGGCTCGATCCCAGGACCCTGGGATCATGACCTGAGCCGAAGGCAGAGGCTTTAACCTCTGAGCCACCCAGGCGCCCCTTATCCTCATTTTATAATGAGGAACAGAGAGGTTAAACAATTTATTAAGATGACACAGCTAATAAGTATCACTACAGTGATGCTGAAGTTTTGAAAGACCGACATAAAAGTAAACCGCTGAAGGTATTAGAATAATAATATTCAAAGTTCTCCAACTTTAGCTGGAGTACAAAGAGAAGAGACCAAATGAATCCCAGGATCTTTGATCTTTCAATTAAACAGATAAATTAAAAACCAAAACACTAATATTCTAAGTGGAAGCTTTTCCCAGACTCATTATCAAGGTGGCACTATGTGCCATTAATCCAATCAGTATTTCAGGTTGTCATTGATAAAACTGGTCAAGTTTAGCAGTCCCCAAACCTCTCTCATGTGGTCAACTTCCTCCAACTCTCAAAATTATACACTACATGAGTCCCTGAAGCCTTATGCTATAACACTTTTTGTTCCAAGGTTGTCACATTTTTAAGTTTAAGTGAGTACACTTTCCTCTAGCCAATGTGAACTATGGACAAATAGGTATTTATATTATCCTCACCAAATGACTGAGGTTTCCATTTGCGGGTTGTTTTGTGTTTTGGTTTTTCATTATGAAAATGTCCATATGGACATCTGAAGACCTGACATCTGATAAAGGAAGGTCAAATTATATATGATGCTTTGATAACACATGAACAATATTCTGTCATTGGAATGAATGTATCTCAGGCTACCACATGATCATATTACCAGGTAAACTGGAACCCTTACTTTGAGATAAAATACAGCAGACAGTTGTTAATGAAACCTTAATTGAACTGTCAAAGCACCAACTTTACCAACAAGCTAAAAGGTAATTCACTACTTTTACACAACTGTCCAATACTGATAAGTTAGTCCAATAGTTAAATTCAACAGAGAGATAAATCAAGGATGGTTGACTAAATTGTTCAGTGATAAATCTGACTGGTAAAATGCTATACCACTTCTATATCTTTCCATGTCTACACAGAGGAAAAACAGTATCTCTCAAAATTACATGCAATGTTTTCAGCCATCAGTTAGTAATTTTAGCTGCACGTCCAGAAAAAGACTTAAGAGCAAATACAGTTTCCTTTTGTGTAGTAACACAAAAGAAAAATACTTACAAAATGCATTAAATAAATATAAGAATCTAAGTAAATCTTATGATGCCCAAGTAGTCATATGGGAAAATATTTTTATGTTCCATTTTAATCATTTTATAAAATAGTTTCAGGTTCATTAAGTGTTCCTTAAATTAAAAAGAAAAATTCTGGTTCAGCTAGTTAATATGTTTAAAAACAAACAAACAAACAAACAACCTCACTAATATCTTTAGCTTGGGTTTCAGAATACTAGTGCAATTCACTCTGGTTTGGTGTTCAAATCACTAGTTTTAACAATTTTACTCAGGTTATACAGCAGTTAAATTCCAAATGTAATAAGCAATTCAGACAGCAAGTCATCAATATGTAAATATAAAAATAGAAAAGGATTTGCATACTAAAACACACACCTGGAAGTCTTCCTTTTTTTCATACTGAATTGTACTTCACCTGTAACAACTGATTAAAAACACTCAATGCAGCTAACCAGAAAAAACGTGGTTAAAGAAGAGAAGAACCTGACCAGGAGATCAAATAATCAAACAGCAAAGATTCCACAGCACTGTGCTAAGTGCAGAGGAGAAAAAGATGTACTCTGGTAGATACAGTCCGTACCCTCAAGGGGCTTACAAATGTGAGACAAGGCAAACACAAAACAACCGGCATAAAATAGAAGATGGTGTACAGAGAAGGTACACTTCAAGCACAAGGAAAGAACTCTGCTGGTGATGGAAGGGGTCAATCAATGAAAGAATACAGAATGGATTCAAATCAAAACCATTTGGTTTTTCATATGAAAGTACTTCAGAAGAGCCACTACCAGAATGTTTGCTGTGGGAGATGTTTCAGCACTCCAGTTTCTCACCTTCTTCCCCATAAAAAGAATCTCTTCCTTTAGCATGGGCTTGAAGCGAAAACTTCTACAAGTCATATCATCTTTCGAGAAAAATGTAGAACAGTTTTAGAATACAGTGAATGCTGCAATCCACTTCCCCTTCAGTAACTCTAGTTCTTAGCATTGTATGTAAAGCACTAAAATGAAAGAGAGCATCCAGGTCTAAGAAAATCCTAACAAATTCTCAGCCAGTAGATGACAAAATTTAAAGCAAGGAGCAACCTTTTTCCTGTCTACACCTCCCAGGCCCCACAACTTTAATCCTCAAGTGTTAGGCAAGGAATGGAAGTTCACAGTGCAATCCCTGGAGATAGGATATGGAAGAGATGAAGGCAGGAACAGACAGGTCCCTGAGCAGATTGACTGAAGAGGCACCATTACCGGCTACACTCCTTCCCACCAGGAATCCCATAGACCTAGGAGGGAGCACTGCAGCAACCTCCTTGGAGAGCTAGCTGGGAAAACACTAGACCCGACTAATTTAAAAACAAAACAAGGCAAAACAAAACAAAAACAGGTCACATTGTAGTCTAGATTATAAAATCTGAAATATAAAGATGCCCAGATACAGTGCAAACATGACACTTGTATCAATTACAGCCTGAAAAACAATGACAAAAGGAGACATTTACCAGGCGAGTTCCAAAGAGTTCATTTTCCTGTGGTGATGGGGGCTTTTCTAGACATTAACAAGAATCTATTTTTGAATGCACTGAAAACATCAATTCATTTGTCCACACCAGATTACTTAACCCTTGAGAAAAAAATTCAGTTTGTTCTAGTTTTGACAGCAACAGGCCCTACAATGATAAATTCATTTTATTACAGACTACTAAGAAGAGTAATAAATAGACAAAATGTGGCATTTAAGAAGCACTCAAGACTTTTTAAAATACCCTAGCACTAGCCAAAGTGGAAGAGTTTCATGTGTTTAAAAAGTATACTACTTCAGCAACCAAGGGATAACAGCAACTTAAGAGACACTAAATGACACTAAAACATTACACAGAATGTGGGCCACGGCATAGCTACAGTCTACTGACCTCATTTGTGGTACTCATGTGTGATGCTATATTTAATGCATTCTTATCAAAAAGCTAAAGCTACGTACTTCCCAACTGTAGCTTTATGGTTTAAAATAAACCACTCAAGCAATGACTTAACTGGTTCAAGTATGAACCCTATCTTCCTTCTGGGGATCAAGATCGCAAATTAAGGAATGAAAAGGCAAAAAGGAGAGTGAAGTACTTATGCAGAGTATGACCCAATGACAAGACCATTATAAGGAATCAAGTTTGGGTCATCTGTGACATCTGCGGCAAGTGAGCAACTGATTCAAACTCCATCCAACCTACGAGATGACCAAGGTCTGCAGCAATACACATTTCATACATCCACCCAATGATCCTACATTCAGTGGCTTGCTTAGGTTCTAAACCAAAAGTTGGGTAGACAGCAAACGTGTGTGAATCCTCAGAGGGTGTTCTCTCCCATGATTTGCCAGGACTCGAAAACATAAGCCCAGCCAGCCAACACACTGGGCCTCTGGGTGAGGGTGGCTTCCTTCAGTTGACGAGCTCCACTTCGGTCAACATGGAGAGAAGCATGACTTGTCGACGCACCCAATCACAACCACGAGAAGAAACCACGAGAAGTTGTGCTCTTCTTTTGATACTCACCAGACAACACCAAAGGCTCCATATCCAATAGGTCTATCCGGCTCAATATCCAGCTGCTGCTGTGGATGATGCGAGTGTTGATGGTGGTGCGCCTTAACTGTAGCAGCTGCGGCAGCCTGTACCTGAGCTGGGGCTGCTGCAGCTGGTCCAGGAGCCTGACCCGGTGCAGGTGATGGGAAATATGGCTGTTGTTGCCCAGGGTTTAACATGGCTGCAGCTGCAGCCGCTGCTGCGGCTGCCGCAGCTGCCGAAGAGGTATGCTGCTGTACAGGGTGGACAGCGGCAGCCGACCCCGGATGAAGATGGTGTTGAGGGTGGTGGTGGTGGTGAAGGTGAGGAGGAGGGAGGTGCGGAAGGTGGTGGTGATGGTGGTGGTGGTGACCTGCTGCTGCTGCAGATGTACCGCCATTGTAAGCCGCCATCATTTTTGCGTTGGCTCTTGCGCCACAAAGAGACATTCAAAAAAATGCCCTTTGATGGGAAAGCAAACTGGGTCAAGCTGTCATTTGGCCATTTAAAAATGAAGAAAAACCACTCACTCCACCTCAAAAAACATGGAGCGTAACTGGCTTTATGTCTTCATCAGTCAATCCAAACAAGTTAGAGGATCTTGGTGTTTAGTTTTGGGGTGAGCGTGTGTGGAAGGGTGTGGACTGCCAAAAAAAAAAAAAAAAAGAAAGAAAGAAAGAAAAGAAAAAAAGAAAAAAGAAGAAAAAGAAAAAGAAAAGGAAAGGAAAAAGAAAAAGAAAAGAAAAAGGAAAAAGGGACCCCTTCCCCCCAGGTTTCCTGCCACAAGTGGGTACTAAAACTCCATCCTTAATTGGGGGGAGGTTCCAACTTTGAATGTGGGAATAAAGGCCAAACCTCCCGACCCCCTGAACTCCACACACGAAAAGGATCAGGTAACACGCTACCCTTGGAATCTTGTAAGAGGTTTGACTCATCTACCCCTTCCATTCCCACATCCTTTTCTAAACACCTACCACCTCCTCAAAAATACAATTTTATAAAAAAAAAAAAAAAAAAAAAAAATCCAACCACCCCAATTCTAAAGATGGGGGGAAAATTTTTAGGGAAACCAGCTTCCCCCCACTCGAACTCTCAGGCCTTCCTACATCTCCCCCTACTCCTAGTCAGGCTGACCTGATTGGAGGGGGGTACTAAACTTTCCAGAACAGAAAAGAGCCAGGGAAGGAGGCAGGAGGGACAGGGTGAGCAGAGCAGGCGACAGGGCAGGTCGGAGAGGAGAAAAAAGAACCGGGGCAAAGTAAAGGTAAGGAGGTGCAGGAAGGAATGAAAGAGAGGTGGGCAGCACTCGGACGCCCAGACAGAGGGAACCGCCCCGGGATGAGGTTAGGGTCCCGGGGCCAAAGAATAGGAGCCCCGGGAGGCGGGCGGGGTGCAGTCGGAAGCGGGCTGACTCCTGCCCCCGCCGCCGGCTGCTTCTGCTGAGGAGGGTTGGGGGGGAGAGCGGGTGGGTCCCCCCGCGCGACGGCCCCCGCAGGGCTCAAGGCTGCTCCGTCTCCCCCCCTCCCCCCCACCCTGCTTCCCGTCCCCGCGGCCGCTTTCTCCTCAGTCGCTGCCGGCCGCTTTCTCCTCAGCCGCCGCCTCCTCAGCCGCCGGTGCCGCCGCGGCCGGACTCACCTCCCCTAGCAAAGCCGGATAGAGCGGAGCCAGCGGCGGACACGCGCAACCAGCCACTGAGGCCCCGCCCCCGCCTCACACTGACCGGCTGCCCTAGCCAATCCACGCCCACCTGTCTGCGTTTGCCTCCAATCCTGGGCCCGTAGCTTCAGACAGGCGCACTGTTCGGCCAGTGGCAACAAGGTGTGGGTCTCCTGGGGAAATCCCGCCCCCGATCCGGGATGGGCAGATAGAGAAACCAATCAAAAGGCAGAATTTGGCCTGACCGACAAGACTAAAAGCGAATTAAAACTCAAAGATCTCCGTGACATTTTCTTTCGCCTCTCTCCTCTTTTCTTTTTCTTCTTTTATTTTTTTGGCAGGAGCAGGAAGCTGCGTGCTAATCCCGCCCGCAAAAGCTGGAAGAGAGGGTGGAATAAAAGAACCAATTATGAGCCGGAGACCAAGAACAGATCAACCAATCCTTGGCTTGAAGACGAAGTGGGATGGGACTGGGGCCAGATAGACACTTGATTTGACAAATGGAAAAAAAGATTGATCTCGGCCCCACCCTTCAGGCCTACTACAGGTCAGGATTGTGGAGAATTCTCTGTCGTATCAGAGACGACCTCTTCGGGGGCGGGGCCAAGCGAAAGGGGTGTGGTCTAAGGAGAGGTGGGCGGGATTGAGACTTAGAAGGCGGAGTCCCAATCGTCGCTGGTTCATTGATGGGAGCCATGTCCTATCCCTTCTTAAGTCAAGTGTGGAGAAGAAAGAGGGGGAGCAAAAAGGGATGTCGAACTTCCGAAACTCAAGGTCCAAGGTTATCCAACAAGACAGTCACAGAAGAAACTCAGTAGACTGGTAGTTCATAGCCTGTGGCTGGTCCTCCATGGCGAATCCTGATTTTGCCAAAAAGAGGTGATGTCTCCAGCATTAACCACTCCACTCAAATGGATGATAAGGCTATTGATACAAACTAAAGCAACATAAGTAATAAACTTAACCACAAAGATCGTAATTTTCTCTTGTATTTTCTGAGTTTTCGTCATTGAAATCTTACTAAAATAACATCTTTTCCCTATCACATAACCACACTTACTTTGAATTTTCTTTTAAAATATGAAATAATAAGCTCACAGAACCTTATTCTTATGAAAACTGCACTCAGAACCCTGGAGATCAGCTTTGATTTCTCTTTGCCTGCCCACTCCTTCCCTTCTAATCAATCATCACGTCTTAAACACTTTAAAACACTTCTATGGGCTCATAAGTGGTCCAGTGGGTTAAGCCACTGCCTCCAGCTCAGGTCATGATCTCAGGATCCTGCGATCCAGCCCCACATGGGGCTCTCTGCTCAGCAGGGAGCCTGCTTCTCCCCGCCACCCCCCTTCTCTCTGCCTGCCTCTCTGCCTACTTGTGATTTCTTTCTCTGTCAAATAAATAAATAAGATCTTTTAGGGGTGCCTGGGTGGCTGAGTCGTTAAGCGTCTGCCTTCCGCTGGGGTCATGATCCCAGGGTCCTGGGATCGAGGCCTGCATCAGGCTCCCTGCTCACTCCCGGTGCTGTGTTCCTTCTCTCGCTGTGTCTCTCTCTGTCAAATAAATAAATAAAAATCTTTTTAAAAAAAGATCTTTTAAAAAACAACAACAAACTTCTGAACACCGCCCTTTCTCCCCAGTTACAACACTAGTACCCCAATTTATGTCACTAGTATCTTTAATGCATCTCCTTGCCTGCAGGCTAGCACACCTCTATTCCATCCTCCACTGAGAGGATAGCAATCTTTTAAAAACACAAGTCTGACCACGCCCCCACCTTTGAAAAAAGTCAATTAATTGCACCGTTAGATCTGGTTCTCTTCTTGCTCAATAACCTTATCTATCACCTCCACCCTCTATACTTCAGACCTTTTGAACTTTCAGTTCCACAAATGGTCTGTGGCTTCTAAGCTTTCATGCATATCTTTTGCCCCAAACACTCCCCACCCACCCTCCACTCTTTTAATCTATCCTTCAGATAAATTTACTTTTCACATAAATTTTACCTTTTTCTTTTCTTTCTGGAAAAATTTTCCTGACTTTGTTGTAGAGTATGTATCTCTGCTATGTATCTCCACTGCACTGCCTCCCTCATAGCACTGAAAACTCTGTATTTTAATTGTTTACTAAGTCTGACCAGGACTGAAAGCTGGTCTGTCCCACTCTGCGCTATATGCCCAGTTCCTGGGGCAGTGTCTAAAAGGTAGAGATAGGGGCGCCTGGGTGGCTCAGTGGGTTAAGCCTCCGCCTTCATCTCAGGTTATGATCTCGGGTCCTGGGATCGAGCCCCGCATCGGGCTCTCTGCTCAGGGGGGAGCCTGCTTCCCCCTATCTCTGCCTGCCTCTCTGCCAACTTGTGATTTCTCTCTCCATCAAATAAATGAATGAAATCTTTAAAAAATAAATAAATAAAAAGTAAGAAAAAAAAAGGTGGAGACACTTATTAAGAAGTTGCACAAGTTATTGAGTGTAGGAGTGGTGGATACCAATCAAAGCTCTGCCGTTTACTAGCTCTGGGACTTCGGCAGTTTAACTAACCTTCCTCAGTCTCAGCTGCCTTAACTGAAAATGAAAATAAAGTGTGCCTCATCAAATCAGTTGAGGGTTAAATGAGGTCATGTATTTAAAAGTTCTTGGCAAGTAGTAAAAGCTCAAAATATGGTAATTTTCCTTCCCTGTCCCCATCCTCACACAATATTTAAGATATCTTTCCAATTTCCCAATGTGTATCAGCCTCCTTCAAGGTGTAGTTTCCTAGAAGCTTATTAGAAATGCAGGGTCTCAGGTTCTACCCCAGATCTACTGAATCAGAATCTCATAGGCAGGAATCTGCTTCATAAGCCCTCCCGGTGATTTTTACACACTAAAGTTTGAGAAACATTGGCCTGGAAGAAAAGGGCTGAGTCTTAAACTTTGTTTACTTTTCAGCACCTAGAAAGTATTCAATATGTGTGAAATAAAGAAATACATCCAATCCACCAGAAATGATTGCATGTGAGGAACTATTTATTCCTGCCACAAACATTTATTGAGCTCCAACTATGTCTAGGCATGATGCTAAGGCCAACTATGGGAGAGGGAAGATACATGGCCTAACAGAGCCTGTCATTCAGGAGCTCTAAGTCTGGTGCAGGAGTTCTCAAAATGGTGTGGGCATACCCCCAGTGGTACACAAAGTGAGCCATTAGGCACCAGGAGGAAATTAGTACAATTTCTATTTCTGCCTATTTTTAATTTCATCTTTCTTTAAAGATTTTATTAATTTATTTGAGAGAGAGAGCATGCATATGCCTGCTGGAGGGGAAGGGCAGAGGGGGACAGAATCTGAAACAAACTTCGATGAGCCCAGTGCCCTACTCGGGGCTTATCTCATAACTGGAGATCACCATCTGAGCCAAAACCAAGAGTCAGTCACTTAACTGACTGAGCCACCCAGGCACCCCTATTTCATCTTTTTAAATGTCTATTTTGTCAGTGTTTTATAATATACATAATATACAGTGTAGTGTAATGTATATAACTTATAAATAAACAAAAATACATAAATTGGGAATTAATGCTCAAAAAATTTTATAAAAAATATTGAGAAATCTGTGTCACCTGGGTGGCTCAGTCAGATAAGTGTCCAGCTGTTGATTTCAGCTCAGGTCATGATCTCAAGAGTCTGAGATCAAGCCACGTGTCCGACTCCACACTCAGCAGAGTCTGCTTAAGAATCCTTTGCCCCCTCTCCCTCTATCCCTCCCCCCCAGCTCTCTCTCTCTAAAATAAAGAAATAAATCTTTAAAATCACTAGCTTGTAACCATGTAATGTCCATGGTTTAGATAGCTCTCTGATAGAAATATGAGAACCACATACGAAATTTTAAATAGTCTAGTAGTCACATTAAAAAGTTAAAAATAGGGTACCTGGGTGGCTCAGTCATTAAGAATCTGTCTTCGGCTCAGGTCATGATCCCAGGGTCCTAGGATCAAGCCCTGCATGGGGCTCCACGCTCTGCGGGGAGCCTGTTACTCCCTTTCCCACTCCCT